AATGGTGGGGGGCCTCCTGTCTACAGTAGCCCAACTTGCTACCATTCCCTGCCCAGTCTACAAAACTGGAATTGAGGGGTGATCATTTGCATTACAAAAAGCTTTTTTATTTCACCCGAAATATTCACCTTCAAAGAAACACCAGCATTCCCTCAAAGGCAGATCTTCTTGGGAGAATTTTCAATTATTTGGGTAATTTAGGTTTTGCATGTCTCTGCCCTGTTACCCACCTAAAGATTGAGCTTTTGTGAGCAGATAGATACCGTGCCTGATTCTCCTTCAGTCCCCTCCACTGCCACGGGACCTGATCCTCAGAGATGCTGAAAGACTCCATGATGCATACACAACTCTTCAGGGACACACTGACTGTGTAAGGTGAGGGACAACCCAAAGCAAGATCAGCCTGCTGCATGTTCAGATTGCCCCAGCTGAACAAACACACGAACCATGGCAGCCTTTCTTCTCTCTGCATTTTCCAGCAGTAGGTGGTACTAATAAAAACACCACCTCACATTTGTGTAGCACTTCACAATTTCAAAGCCACTCTCATAACTTAAAGTCACTCACCACCACCATGCTACTCTCCAGACCATGCCCGTCCATTTCCACCCACACCCCTGCTTCTCCTGATGACCAACCCCCAGCCTCTGCCTGAGAAAGGCCACGTGCTTCTCCCAGGGAGGCCATGCGCTCCGCAAAGAGTTTTCTCATAAAGAGTCAGCCAGTCAGACATGTGGGCAGAGAGCAGAGGGCGGCTTGTTCAGGTTCTGTTTATTATGTTCTCACAGCCTTGTTTATAGTAAAGGTGAATGACATTGTTCCACTCTACACGGTAATGAAACAATTCAATGAGGACTCCATCAGCCAAGCAGTTTAAATGGCAGATGAGCTGCTACGAATCTGTTGTGCTCGCCGCGTGACTCAGCAAATGCTACTGTGGTTGGAGGGCACACCCAGCCCAGCCACCTTTTCCACACCTGGCTCAGGGAAAGGAGCCGAGGGGTCAAAGGGAGTCAGAATCAAGAAGGGGGAGTGTATTGAAAGGACTCAGACCCCAACCTAGCGAGGTCCGTGGCTCATCCTGAAGTTTCCCATCTTGGTCCACAGCATCTTGTAGAGTCCTGAGAGGCCACAGGGACAGGAAAACTTCTCTGCTCTTGGCTTCTTCCTCCACAGTCTCATACCGAGTGGCACAGGCTCTCAATGCCCGGGGTAACTTTGCTACCTCTCTTTCTTCTAACCCAGAGTCAAAGAGGGTTGATACTTGGCAGACAGAAGGATGGCCTAGAATGGGAAACTGTAGTCCTTTTGTCTTGCTTGGGAGTGGGCACAGACGGGGTGAAGAGTGCTCAGGGCACTCTTGATGGGAGCCTGTCCTGCCTCTGCATGAGCCACACATCCCTTCCCCTCTGGTCGATGGAGAAGCAGACATCACATTAGTGGCTGGTCTCTCCCGCTGGCTCCTTCCTCTTCAGTCTTTCCCATTCCCACCTTCCCACAGCTCTCAGCACAATAGCATAATAGGTTCACACCTTTCGTCCCAGCAGAAGGAGCTTCTCCATCCAGACAGGCAACTGGCCAAGAGAAACACCCAGGGCCTGCACCAAAAGGCCGGGCCCGCAACCTGCACAAAACATCTTTTTACAACTTTGGTTTATTCAGAGCAGTCAGTTCTGGGAAGAGCACCAGAGGTTAAAATCAACTAGGAACTTCCCAGCTGCCCACCCAGGCTGGGACCAAAGAGGAAATGGTAAGGGCTTGGAGTGGGGGCCAAAACCCCCACTGTGGCATTGGGAAGGCCTCACAGATCTCCATATTCCCAGGATGTGATACCCTCCATTGAGAAATTTGGAAGTTGTTTTGTGACTAGTACTATCACTACCACGACTCACTTACTACCTGAGTTCCAACTACTTGTTGCATGGCCTTGTGTGCAGGGGCACAGCCTAACATAGAATGAAATGCATGAAAACAGACAAGGGAAGTGGCCAGGAGGCAAACTTGGAGGAGGCCAGACACAGAAAGTGCGGTAGAGTATCTCCTGGTTAGGGATCCTCACCTTTGGCATACCTGCGGCCAGGCAATGCACATAGCTTGGACCAAAACACTTATGCAAATGAGCGAGTCAGACCAAGATGGCATAGAGACAACCGTCGTCATGAGATGCAGATTCCAGGGCTGGCAGGAGTCCTGGTCATTGTGCTTGTCTGCATCTGGATGTGCTCTAGCCCCCTGGACCCACACAACTGTGTTCTATCCCAACTTGCTCCTCCTTACTCCTTAGCCAGTGCTTCCCAAGCTCACCTGCCCATTGGAACCACCTGTGGAGCTTCATAAAACATGAACATCTGGGTCTCTACCAGAGAGCTTCTGATTTAGCTGTTCTGGGGTAGGACCTGAACATTTGGGTTTTTTAAACTCCCAGGTGATTCTGAAGGATGGCTAAGGTTGACAACCATCATCTTAGACCATCTTTTCTTAGAGTCCACAGGTCACTACCCAGAGCTTATTAGAACTATGGATTTCTGGGTCCCAGCCTAGGTCCATCAGATCAGCATCTCTGGGTGTGGAACCTGGAAGTCAGCATTTATAACAGACTTTCCGGTGATCACTGTGCATGCTCAAGTTTAATAAGAATACTGCCTCAGAGGGTTCCTCATCCCAGAGGTGCCCAAGACCATGAACATCAACACAGTTGATATTGACTATGTTCAATTTAACTTGCCAAAGGCAACAACAAATCTCACACCAGCCCCCAAAGAAGTTAGCACTCCAGGGGGGCCAAAGGCCACTCAGGGACAGAGAGCAATTCTAAAAGTCACAGCTCTGCCCGGACTACTGCCCCGGCTTGCCTTGAGCTTGCATAGGCCTAGGACCAGAGTGAGCCTCAAGTCCAGAAGGCAGTCCACAGCACAAGCCCGGCTGGAGGAGCAAAGGAAGACAGTAGATGGAAGTGGCACCCGTGGAGGACTTGTAGAAGAAGAAATGGGAGAGAGGACGGGGCTGGGAGACATGGAAGCTCAGGGATGAGGTATGCTTGAATATTGCTCTAGATGTTGTAAACATTTCTCTTTGTTTCATCACAGACCAAAATCTGGGTTGGTATGACCAAAGTGCCTAAAATCAGCATCAGAGTGGAGAGCTCTGTGGGAAGAAAGGAATAAAGGGTGCAAGAATAGCTCTACCCTTGGAAAGACCATGTCTGTGGTATGTTAGTCTAATGCTCACAATTGTCACACACACAAGCACATAGAGATGCTCCACAGGAGTACCATAAATTCAGCTATGGTGATCCTCTACATACGAACGAATGAACACACACCCACATACCCTCACTGAGCTGCAAAACTCAGGATATCCATGCTTGATCCTTCAGACTTCTTCATGGTGGGAGGAAGTCACCAGGGCACCATGACACCACCATCTGCAGCCTTCATTCCATGAGTAGTTGATAAGAACTCTAGACCTCAAAGGAGGCCACCACACAACTCTCTTTTCAGACTTTTCTCCTTGGGAGAGTGGAAGTGGTGGAAAGGCCCCTCTTAGAACATTCCACGTTTCCAGAATGCTGCAGTTCCAGTTTATATGGACCTCATGGTCAACAGTAGAGTTGGCAGCAGATGCACATTTCATGTGTAAACAATGTTTAAAATACCCTGTTTGAGAATTTAATCATTAAATTAATCTGGCAGCTTTAGCTAAGAATGACTTGTTACCAGGGTGGGGTGGGGGTAGGGTACTACCTGTTCTAACTAGGAACACCCATTTGAGACTTTGGAGTTCTTGAACATGAACTTTCACAGGTCTCTTCAATGTGAGGGCTAGGAGGCATGTGTTTTTCTCTCTCCTTGAGGTTCACACAGTCACGTCAACCCTCACTCACTGATAACAATGTGCTATGACAAGGCAGTGGGCCCTAAGACTCAGGGGACTCACGGGCCTCCTTGGCCTTGTCTAGCTGTAGCCAAGGAAGGAAGAGATTCTCAAAGGTACCAGCCAGGAATGCAAGCACTGGACATCAGTATAATCTTAAAAGGCCCATTACTCCACAAGTGAAAGGGGCTTCAGCCCAGTTCTCAGTCACCTGCATTCCAGAGCTTATACCTAATTGTGTACTGTTCCATTTGCCAAGCTGAAGGTTTTGTAGGTCTGCAATGAATCCATATCCTTTGTATCCCAAGAGTACCTCCACCACGTCCTCTGTGATTACGTCCACCTGGAGACCAGCATCTTCCAGACCCCTCTCACACTTTCTGGTCTCTCTGCCGAGGATTCATCTCCTTGGCACTGCTCTTGTGCCCAAGTCAGCTTTTTCCTGGGTAGCTAGAGGAGGTTCTGGGCTGCTAAGGAGAGTTGCCTGACACATTTCCAAGAGTAGCTCTAGGCTACCATGAAAGTATTTCAGGAATGTTCTCCACGTCCAAATGTTCACAGCAATCTTCTTAGCCACATCTTCTATTTCATGCTCAAGGTCAAAAGGTCAAAGATCAAGAAGGAAGCTGCTTCATGATAGTTGAGAGAGAGACCTAAGAAAGCATGCTCCCAGGGAGCATGCAGGAAAGAGAGTTTCAGCCTAAGTTCCCATTCTCCCCCATCATAACGACATGACCTGCATGGAGGGGGGAGGTGGAGAGACAGGGAAAGCACTAGGCACCATGACAGCTGTCCATGCTACGGGGACTCACCTCCCTCTGCCAAGTTGCTGTCATCCTAGGAGACCGGTGACATGTGATGCCACAGGGAGGCAATGGCAGAGGAGACACTGAGCAACACACAGGTTAGACGATGCCCCATTGCTTACAAGTCTACTGGTGCTACATTCCCTGGTCACTTGACTTCTGGGAAAGTTCTTGGTAGAATTGAGAAATATGAGCAAGCTGTATCTTTCTTCATGGCGGTTCCACTCTAGAAGTCATGAAGGACATCTCCCCACACCCTTTCTGGAAATGCAAGGATGGGAGAGTCTTGTGAATTTCCTAGGCTAAGATGGGCGGTGATTACAGTTTTTAACAATGGTCCAAGGGAAATGGAAGAAATAGACACCTCCGTGGAGTTTGCCCTTTTCCCAGAGGTCACTTATCAATGATGGTGCTAGAAACCTGGGATTCCACAGAGACCTCTCTCCTAAGCTATGAGGTCCCAGCACGCAGGGCTGACCACTACATGGTGACAGAAAACCACAGATGTGAGCCCAAGTGTTCTAGCTATTCCTCCCCAGGACAGAACAAGCAGAGAGGTGGGACTCCTAACTGAGGAGGGTGTGGAGGTGGTGGGACTTGCATGGCATTATTTACAGATTAGCCTAGCACAGTGAATCTGCCTTCTCAGCGAAGATGACCCGAGGCATTATGAAGGGCAAGTTGCTGACCCAGAGAAAGGAGACAGCGGCAAGATGCTACCACTAACCAAAACACAAATGTGGGTAAATGGAACAGAGTCCAGGCTCCAGCAGCTGGGTCACACTTTGGAATGGCCCTTTGTTCCCTTGCTCCTCCAGCCTCCTGCCCCAAATGCCACCACTTTTGAACACCTATGACACTTCATATTAGAATATGGTCTTGGCAGCAAGGGTGGGGTGAAGCCAGTGATTTCCAAGAGTCCCCATCTGAGGTCTAACTGAGCCTCCTCTGGCTTTGGGACAGCAAATCTAAGTACATTTTGGACCTCAGGAACCGGGGATAAGAGTCTTTCTCCATGAGGCTGTGTACTTTTCCCTGGGCTTGGTCGAAGCAAGTCAGGGATGGCTCCTGCATGTTCTTTCTCGTGGCTTCTCGGGTCTGGAAGTCGATGTTTACCTGGAGACACAAACAGAGAGCAAGGTCACAGGCCCTCAAGGGCCAAGGAGCCTGGTCGCTGACCCTAGCTATGTGATAATTATTCACAAGAGCATCTTATATCTTCAAGGTGATTTTGTACTTTTCAAACTGCTTCTATCTCTTTTGAACCCAGCAATAGTCCTTTGTGGTCTGAAGACCAGATATTCTCAGTCTCAATTTGTAGACAAGAACACTGAAAAAAAAGTTCTCATTTAGATTAAGAAGCTTGTCTAAAGCAGCATGGAGAGTTAGTAACAGAGCCCAAGGCAAAATCCCAAATGACTCAACTCTTAATCCAGGAACCTTCACAGTGGCAGGCAAAGGGTCAACTCAAGCCAAGTGGGTTTTTTTGTTTGTTTGTTTGTTTGTTTTGAGTGGAGTCTCACTCAGTCACCCAGGCTGCAGTGCAGTGGCACGCCCATGGCCACCCCAGTGTCGACCTGCGGGGCTTCTGTGATCCCTCTGCCTCAGTCTTCCAAGTAGCCAGAACTACAGCCGTGCACTACCATACCCAGATTTTTTTTTTAATTACTGTAGAAATGAGGTCTCGCCAAGTTGCCCAGGCAGTTCTCGAACCTGTGGGCTCAGGCAACCCTCTGTCTCCCCAAGTACTGGGATTACAGGCTTGAGCCACCGTGCCTGGCCAAGTCAAGGGTTAATGCAGGTTCCTTAAAGGAAGCTTTCCCTCTTGTCCTTTCTTAACTAAGGGAACACATGTCCCATGGAGCTATGCTCCCTTAGTTAAGAAAGGACAAGAGGGAAAGCCTTGTAGAAGGGATAGCCTGTCCTAGCCAGCATTATAAAGGGCTTATAGAATCCTAGTGGTACAGACCTAATGCATCGCCAAGTCAAAGAATAATTGAAGAGTTGCAAAAATGCAATGCACCTAAACTTGTAGACAGCAAACATGTTTCTTTATTTAAAACCTCCCAAGTAAAATTCCATATCATGACTCAGAACAACAATATAATAGAAATTCATCCACTGTATTATAATTTTAATAAAATAACATAAATAACTATAATTACCCATTAATGAGCAGTGGCAAATATTTAATAGGTGCTTTATGCCTAATACTCTTTTACATCAAGGAAAATGAGACTTGGAGAGGTTAAATAACTTAACCAAGAGCACACAGCTAGTAAGTGGTGGAGCTGAACTTGGAACAAGGTTCCAAAGCAGCTCTGCTTTCCATCAAGTTATGCTACCTTAACACAGACCTAGCAGCATGTATTCTTGAAAAGTCCCTGTAGCAATACAGTTCCTGTCAGCACATGTTTAACCGACAAACAGCTAAAACGCTGCTAACAGAATTCCTTTGACTTCTGGGAAATGATTAAAATGATTACTTTTACGTCAAGAGTCCCCAGAATGGCAAGGCTGGCTTTAGTTTAAAAAAAACCTGGCTTAAACCCCTTCCATAAGAGAAATGCGAGCCAGGAGCCATCGCTGGAGGTCTGAAGGGATGGTCACCCCTGCCAACACACCTCCCGCGGGGCCTGCACATCCACAAACTCTTCAAAGATCCTATGGGCCTTGGAGACCAGCTTTGCAGTGGACCTGGTCTTCTTGAACTCCTCACATGCCAGCCAGAACTCCAAGTTCTCCTCACTGAACTCCGTCTTCAGGAAGGCGCGGAACGCAGCCACCCCATCTGCAGATGTGAAAGGAGGTAGGAAAGGAGAAAGATAGGAAGCAGCTTAATTTCAAGGACTGTAGAAGAAAGAAAGAAAGGCAGTCATCTCAGGAGGCCACCCCTAACTGTCCAAATCCCCTGCTCCGCCACACCTTCTTGAAGACTGTTCTTTGAGACACACAAGCTTTGTACTCAAGGATCATAACAATAATAGAAAGCAATGTTTAGAAAGTCATGGTAACATGTTTAGGGCAGAGTTGGCTGTCCCCTGGGCCTACTGACAAGCCTGCATTGCTAATTAGACTGAGATAGTGAACGTAATTTATTCCCTACTCTAATCCAAGTTAACCACCCTGAGAAAACACACACTCTGTTACAAGATGAACTAGAGGTGGGAATGCACGTCTCAAGACAAGCCCTTTACTTACTACCATAAAAACATCTGAAAGTAAACACCCTACTGAAATTCAGTCAATATCATTCCATTACATGGAAAAGGTTCCTAGTCTCAGAGGTGCTGTGTAGATATAGATGATATAGATATTTACATGTATCTAGATGTAGAGATAGATAGATAGATAGATAGATAGATAGATAGATAGATAGATAGATAGATAGAATGTATGTATATATAGGGATGGAGTCTTGCTATATTGTCCAGGCTGGACTCAAACTCCTGAGCTCAAGTAATCCTCCCACTTCAGTCTCCTGAGTAGCTGGGGTTACAGGTGTGAACCACTGTGCTTGGCTAAGTGCTGTATTTTAGTATTTTATTCCATGCATGCTTTATTTTAAAAGATTTTGCCTATCAGTTTTACATTAAACTGATTACAATTTTCTACCATGTGATTTAACAATTGAATACACCCTTTCATTTTTATTAATCACATCATATATATTGCTAAACAGAGGTTACAACTAGCACAAATAAACAGGGTTACCACACTATCGGAAAGAGAAATCACATTTATTAATGAACTATGCATCCAAGTAATGCTTTTTATTTTAAAATATTTTTTATAAATTATTTTAACCTTAACACACTCTCCTCTGATAGAATAACAGCTATAGTATTCTATAAATTATCCTCAGGTGAAAGGCACATGCAACCTAGAATAAAGAAGTGCTCCACTGGTTATAAAGGACCCTGGAAATAATGTTTTGTTTCTTTTCTAAAATTCACCAGAAGGACAGAATGTTAACAAGTCTTAATTCTAGATGATGAGATGATCTGAAAGTCTGATGTGCACCAGGACAGTACATGTTTCCTAGTCTCTTTAAAAACCAATGCCGAGATCATTTGATGGACTACTGGTATCATATTGTTCAGGTATTTAAATGATTGTTTAATCATTTAAATTTTTTGAAATATCTTTATTTATCCTAATTTTAAAAATCATGTGTATCTCTGTCTTTGAAAATAGACATTTTGATGTCTATACCAGAACAGTGTCATAAGAGTCAAGACTTTTAACTACAAGAGCCAAGAACTTAAGAAAGAAAAGAGTTTTCATGGGACACTCAAGGCTATGCTTTGAAACTTAAGTTTGGAAGCCTAAGTTTAAAGTGTTTTAAAAAGGAGGATGGCCATGTAATTTACCGTTCAAGCCAGGACATTTTTTGAGAGTGAAGGGGACAACTACTGTTAATTACACAGGGACAACAGGCATAAACCATGACCACCACAGGCAAAACCCAGGACACATGATCACCATGACCCTAAGCCATGGAGTATGGAGAAAGCAGAATATGATGTAAGGTTACTTCCTGTCAGGCAGGAAGGAAATAAAATCATTCCTGTGCCAGGAAAAAGGAGAGTAACGGTTTAAAATCAAATGAGAGGTCTGTTTAGGGTACCTCCCACCCCATACTATATTAGAGTCCAAACTCTAGGACAAGGGAGTAGAAACCGAGATAAATGGAGAATCCAATGAGCATAAAATGGTGACATGCAATGTTAAGACAGAGAGGGCCTGAGAATCATTCAATTCAATAATACTTTTTAAACTGCTAATGAACAAAGTACAGATGCTCTGCGGGTTATGAAAGGGTTACATTCTGATAAGCTCACCATAAGCTAAAAGTGCACTGAACACACCTAACTTACTGAACATCGAAACTTAGCCTATCTCATTCCAAGTGCACTCAGAACACTTTTGGTACAACCATCTGAATGTTACAAAAGCTATTCCACACTATCTTACAAAATTGATGCTGTGTTAGATTATTTGGCCCAGCATCATGAGAGAGTAGGGTATCACATATTGCTAGCCTGGAAAAGACCCAAATTCAAAATTTGAAGTATCACATCCACACCATTTATAAAGTAAAAAAATTGTAAGTCAAACCACAGTAAGTTGGGGGCCTGTTCTAGGACCTGGGATACGTTGGAGAACAAATCATAAAAACTTTGCCCATGAAATACCTCATGGACACTCTCTGCCACCACTCCCTTGCCATGGCTCTGGCACACTCTCTGTGCAGGAGATCCAGAAGTCTCCACAGGCTCCAGGGGGAGCTTGATTGGAGAGCTAGCATGCCTGCCAGGGGAGTGCCGCTGCTTGCAGCAGAGGCCCTTGTGGCAGAGGCTACTGACAGGGGCCGGATGGAAAAACAGGTAGAGCTGTGGAAGGTGCAATGCCCTTTAGGAGACTTTCTCCTCGAGAACTGAGGAGGGTCTGGCTCAGCAAGAGAGGACTCTGAGCAGTGACCAGTTCACAAGTTACACTCCCAGTGGACACAGGGAGGACACGGGGGGCTACCCTGATGACTCCATCTTTTTTTTTTCCTTGAGTTGTAGTCTCACTCCATCGCCCAGGCTAGAGTGCAGTGGCATGCTCACGGCCACCCCAGTGTCGACTTGCTGGGCTCCAGAGATCCTTCCACCTCAGCCTTCCAAGCAGCTGGAACTACAGGTACACTCTACCACACCCGGCTAATTTTTGATTTATTGTAGAGATGAGGTCTCGCCAAGTTGCCCAGGCTGGTCTCAAACCTGTGGGCTCAGGCAATTCTCTTACCTCAGCCTCTTGAAGTGCTGGGATTATAGACTTGAGCCACCGTGCCTGGCCTTTTTTTTTTTTTTAAGGCAGGATTTATTGACAGGACAGAAAAGCTTCCACAGTGGGAGGGGACCCGAGGGGGATGCCTGATGCTTCCATCTTAACACACTTTCCTCTGGACTCAGGCAGGGGGAGAGAGGACCTCAGAGATGGTGCATTTATCTAAAAGAGTAACTGGAGAGCGACATGGAAGGGTCACTTGGAAAAGCCTGCTGTTTTTAAACCAGAGGAGACTAAATTCCTTGAGTGGGAAAGATTAAGTTTGTTGTTTGTGTCGGATCTTGCTTAGTTTTTAATCAAACAGAAACAGGTGCTTGTGAGCAAGTTGAATGTAGTTACAGAAGAGGGAAAAAAATGCCTTTCTGTTTTCCTTGATATTACTGGCAAAAATAAACTTGCTAAGGAAATTCTGTCTGGCCCTGGGCTAGACAAGGTATGGAGAGGATCTCTGTTATTCCAGGTCACAGGGTTGTTAGGTCTTAGTGTGGATTAGTAGATAACACTCATAAAGTGCTCTTGGAGCATCGTTATTTTGTCCCATTTTTATGGATAAGGAAACTGATGCTGAGAGAAGTGACTTGCCTGATTCCACACAACTAATAATATGTAGCATGAAAAGCTTAATACTATAAGGTATACTAACTCTCTGTTCAATATAATAATATTGCCATCTTCATTCATTCATTCATTCATTCATTCATTCACCCGTTGTGTGACCTAGGCTGTGCTAGGTGCTAAAAGCAGGTAAAACTCTAGTCTCTCAGAACTTTCTGTTGAAGGGCAGTTGAAGCCACGAAAGCATAATTACAGTAATTATGGGGTAGTGTGATAAATGATAGGATAGGGAAGCATCGGGTGTTATGAAAGGACCCAGGAGGGGCACCTGAGTCAGCCCTGAGGAGGGATAGGAAGACCTGCGGCAGGGAAGAGTCATCTAAGCTGAGATGGGGAGTGAGGAGAAGGAAGCCAGCAAAAGAAGGAAGCAGAAGAGAGAGAAGAGAATTTCAGGAAGAGGGAACCACACGCACAAAGGCCTAGAATTAAGAAAGCTGACTTGAGTAATTAGAAATAGTTTATTAAGACTGGTGTTTAGTAATTGTACAGCTAAAAATGACTGGGCCTCCTTGTAGGGCAGTCAGATACCAATTACACAAAAGAAGAGCCAAGATTCCCAACTCCAAAGCAAGATTTTTCCAGATGTGTTTGCAGGCAGACACCAAGAGGCCTGTGAAAAATCCAGAGAGGCAGAAGCATTGCACAGTCTTACAAAAGCGTTGCACAGAAAGAGAACGTTTTGAGAAGGAAGTGGCCACTGTGTCCAGTGCTAACCACAGGCCAAGCTAGATACACTCTAAGAAGGGACCACTAGATCCAGCAAGCACGGACAGGAACGGTGTTAGTGGCCAGATAGGGACCGGACCATACTGTGGTAGAAATGATGGTCAGTGAGAGGGGAGGAAGTACAAACAGTTCATTCAGATGACGCTTGCAAGACGATTTGCAGGGAAGGAAGTAGAGAAATCAGACAGCATAGCTGGGAAGAAACATGAAGTCAGGAGAGAGATTGTTTTTGTTATTTTAAATTAGCTTTGGGTGTGTTTAAATGCTGATCTGACCAGAAAAGACTTATTGAGTAGCAGGAGTTGAAGCTAAAGGGAAGGAAAAAAAGAGTCTAATGAGCAATATATTGCCCCCAGGAAGGCAGAAGAAATAGATTTGAGAACAAAATTATGATGGAGAACAAGAAAAAAGGCTGTGGAGTGCAGGGAAGTTGCTAGTTTTAGGCAGGAAATTGACGTTCCTGGAGAAGGTGGTAGGGCCCAGGGAAGGGAAGGTTTATTTATTTAGGCCATATTTATACATGCCATGTTTTTTGCTTAGGATTTTCCAAATCACCAGCTCAATTCATTTTCTCAAAAATGCTGATCCATAGATATTATAATTCCCATTTTCTAT